ATTTTTTTTTATTTCGGATATCCGATAGTTTCGGTTACGGTTACGGATATCCATAACATCCCTGGAATGGGCCGCTATTGTACAGTCCGGGGTTCGAGACTCTTGAGGGCCATCGTCTGAGGAGTGCTCTTCGATAATAACACACTGCTTGTGTTTACCCGACTGCGCCATGGGTTATGGTTTTTGAGTTGTTTTGATTTTTCTAGTGGGGTTGAAATATGGGTTATTCGTTTTATGTTTTAGTTAGGGTGTAGTTCACTTTCAAAGCAAACTGAAATAGTAACTATGATATTTTGAGCAAGTGACGTCAGCATTGTAATTGTACCCCTTGTTTGTATTGAATAGGCTCCGAAACTACTAGATTTTGATTTGAAAAAGTTTTTCCATCATTGGAAACTTAACCTACATTATTTTTGATAAACATAGGCGGCAGCTAATTCCGTGTAAAATTAGCCATATATTGGCCGCTGGGGCAGAAAAGTTCACGATTAAATGAAATATGTAAAATAAAATAAATTGATAAAGGCTAAACAAATAATTTAAAAGTTAATAATGTTAATTCAAAACTACTTACTTGTAACATCTACAAGTATTTTCTATCTGTAATGTAATTGTATACCTACTAGCAATTTATTGAGACCAGCCCATTTACAAATTCAAGTCACATTCGAAGTGCTTTAATAAGGGCTCGAAGATATGAAAGAAAAATATGCGGAATATTCAAACTAGCTTTAGATCTAGCGTTTACTCAGTTAGTGTCTTAGGTATGGAAGCGGCACGGGAGGGGTGACATTGACATATTATGACGTGACAGACATACAAATCTGTGGGTCTAGTCAAAACGCACTTTAAAATCGCAAACCCATCGCAAACCAGTCGCAAACAAATAAACAAATCGCAAAAGAGGTCGATAACAAAAAAGGATTAGCCAAACGGCAAAAAATCGAATCGCAAAGCCCTACCTATCGATAATCGAAAGACTGGATTGAAATTTCCCATACTAAGGCTTAGCCAACATGCATTTAGGTAAGACTTAATCAAAATCGAATCAAAATTTTCATTGCGATTACTAAAACCCCGGTGATAAGCTTCGATTCGATCGAAAACCAATAGGGTGAGTTGCACCACCTAACTTTGACCGTAACTATGACGTTAACCGGTGTTTTTTGTATGGAGTTTGACAGATTTTAGACGTTTGTCAAAGTTAAACTAAGATGGTGCAACCCACCCTAAGGCTGTTTTGACAAATCCGTATCGCGATGTCGTTTTGACAGCTAGTTTGACAGCGAAGCATAGACGTAAACAGAAAGCAGTGGGTCTAGTCAAAACGCACTTTAAAATCGCAAACCCATCGCAAACCAGTCGCAAACAAATCAACAAATCGCAAAAGAGGTGGATAACAAAAAAGGCTTAGCCAAACGGCAAAAAATCGAATCGCAAAGCCCTACATAACGATAATCGAAAGACTGGATTGAAATTTCCCATACTAAGGCTTAGCCAACATGTGGGTCTAGTCAAAATGCCATCGCAAACCAATGTGAAGTTTTCACTAATGTCAGTCGCCGCGTCACCAGTGATTCGATTCGATCGGAAAATGGCAGCCAAAATGCACATTGAACCACCAACGACGCGGCGANCTAACTTTGACCGTAACTATGACGTTAACCGGTGTTTTTTTTATGGAGTTTGACAGATTTTAGACGTTTGTCAAAGTTAAACTAAGATGGTGCAACCCACCCTAAGGCTGTTTTGACAAATCCGTATCGCGATGTCGTTTTGACAGCTAGTTTGACAGCGAAGCATAGACGTAAACAGAAAGCAGAAAGAAGGAAGAAACTAATTAAAAAAAAAAAGCTAAAAAAAGTAAAAACAATAAAATTATCACTTCACGGGATTTATTGCAACAATATTTAAAATATTATAAAGTAAAAACAATCGCAAAGTCATAGACATTTTTTAACTTTTATTCGATTTTGAATGAACTTTTATATCGCCGCGTCGTTGGTGGTTCAATGTGCATTTTGGCTGCCATTTTCCGATCGAATCGAATTACTGGTGACGCGGCGACTGACATTAGCGAAAACTTCCTATTGGTTTGCGATGGCATTTTTTTTTTTTAATGGCAACCAAACCTCTCTGGGAGGTTTATTTCTGCCAATGTCGAGTGAAAAATAATTGGCAAAGTTATCAATAGAACGTGGGTGTTTCAGTTCTATTGATTTTTCATGGATTCCGTGGAGTTAAGTATGCCCGTAAGCAGGTTTCGAGACGCCACCGGGTCCAAAGCGGGTTGTTCATACGACAACCCACTCGACACTCGATGCGCGTTCAAATTCGAAGTATTTCAATGTTTTTTATAATTTATCACTTCACTGCACTTTAGAACACAAAATGACACCTTTGTACACTAAAGTCCATTAAATAATAAATTGAAACCATTAAAACAGATCGACCATGCTTCCCGTTCAACTACCCTCCACGGACATGGCATTTTGACTAGACCCACTGAAGCACATTAGAAGTCTCGCTGACGTCCGACTTCCCAACACCCTCCCGTGCTGTTCATATACCTCAGCCACCGACTGAGTTAAGCGTAGAACTATAACATCTATACAGGGTGTTAGGTGAATGGGTACATGAGCCGACACTGCCGACACACAGCCCATGTTAACATGGGCATATAAATGGTATGGTGAAGTCAGGAAATTGATATCTTCATTTTAATTATTTTATTTTTCATACAAATCGGATTTTATAAATTTAATTTTGTATAAAAATTAAAAAAATAAAATGATGATATCATATTTCTGACTTCACCATACCATTTATATGACCATGTTAACATGGGCTAGTGTCGGCTCATATACCCATTTATCTAACACCCTGTATAAATATTGTAAACCTTTGAAAGAGAATTGACGATTGATGGTTTATAGCACTTTATAGCTGTTGCTGGCAGTTTGGCCATCAATCCTTTTTTGATATTGTTTATGGTTTTTTACTTTTTTTAATATTGTTTTAGTTTTTGAAGTTGCTTTTGCTACGCTCGCTTGTGTTCTTGTGTGAATGTCTTGAGCAATATACTGTTTTGGCCCTATTTTGGAGTGTTTCCTTGCTTCTTGCATATAGTCATCACCGGCAGGCCTATCTATAACATACAGTCCACTCTATCGCCTTTTAACAATAGCCTTGCTAGCGGCCGCCCGCGACGCCGTACGCGTGGATCCCGTTTTATCCCCTTAGTGGTGGAGTTTCGTAAAATCCTTTCTTAGCGGATACCTACGCCACAACATCTACCTGCATGCCAAATTTCAGCCCGATAATTATGTCCAGTGGTTTGGGCTGTGCGTTGATAGATCACTATGTCAATCAGTCAGTCAGTCAATCAGTCAGTTACCTTTGAGTTATTTAAGTATATTTAGATTGCAATCAAAACTCAACAGAAGTGACGGCGCACTGTCAAAATGAGAAAACGCATTTTACTTTAAAATTTCAGTCTCTCTACGAATGACAGCTACAATTTTAGTCCACCGATAAACCGGAATAATCCAGATTACTCCGGTTTGGAAATCAGTTTGACGTAGACATTTTAAAATGGCGAAGAGTGCCATTTAGGTTTCAGTTTTGTCTCAAAATATACAGCATGATACATAATACTGGTCTACTCCACTTTGATCACCTGGATTTGTGTGGACTCCAGGCGACACTTTGATAACTTTGATCACCCATGGATAAGATCACCTAGGTGATCAAAGTGGACTACTTTATCGTTTGGGTTTCTTTTACATGACTTTAACTTTTAAGAAATCGACTGCCTCAATGGAATTGAACCAATTTTCGAATCGTAATCAATCAGATTACTTATGACCAGAAACGAATAGAAAAGTCACTTTTTTTTAAAACACTACCTTTAAATTACTCTGGGGCGTACGAGTATGTAAGGCTTACGTTTCTATTACATAGTGGAAATCTACCAACACGTCTCATAGGTCATACGCCCCGCGAACGCCCCGTAATGATGTGAATATCCTCAAATGCCCCGCTATAATTATTGCACATCCTGTGTATCTCGCCTGTCGTCGACATTTCTACTGTCGAGTTGGGAATAAAGACACGGTGGGGTAATTTTCTGTAACGTTGGGAATTCGCGGTTTGACCAATTTTCTAAAGACTGATTTTAGCTTCAGTTTTTTGGTTTCTTATGTATGGTGTATGGAATTATTTGAAGAAATAACTTGGGTAGGTAATAAACGCACTGTCATTTTTAATTTCAGTATTTTTTGTAATTAGTGCCAATTATTTTGTAATAATTAGTTAAAATTCTAGCCTTCCTTCACCAACAGTCAGTTCTTAGTTCGAAACTAAGCAAAGTTTATATTTAGGGCTTTTAATTTAAATAACAAAATGCTCCCTGTGGGTTTCTTTTTCGCAACCATTTTCTATTGTAATCTACCGAAAATGTTTATGTTTACTAGATTATCTTTTAGGGTTGGCAATTTAGATTATTTGGAAAGAGCGTTCATTTTGTTTTTAGTTAGTGTTTGAACAACTACGCCATGAAAAAAACATTAAACACTCATTTAATATAGTGATGTTAATAAAATATAGTCCCAAACAACAAACCTGGAAACATGGGGACACTGACAGCCTTATTACTAATAGGGGTAACATTTCAGGTACCTATAAGTTTTATTTTATTCTGACACAGACCATTTACGCCTACACATTGTATAGTCCTAAAAACGCGAAATTAAACCGCACATGTACCAGAAAGTACATCATTAGTTACATCAGCTACATTGCCCGGTGTAAGCTAGAAAAATAACCCAGCTTGTTTACCTCTGCCTAACGAGCAGTGAAAACTTGCTGCTACCCGACCTAATTGGAACGCTATCTCTGAAAGTAACTTTCAGAAGAGGGTAGGTGTTTTTGAATTGGCGGGGTAATACTACGGAACAAGAGTACGCGAAAGGTGAAACTGTATCAGTGCGCATCGGACTTCGGACGGAGGAGGCCGCGCGCTCTTACGTTCCGAAACACGCGATCGTAGTTTAACTTTTCGTAGTGCAACGCTGTTTGGCTGAATGTGTTGATTTCAGTGCTATAGTTTGACTGTGTGAAAAATGTAGTGCAGATTCTTTTTGGTGTAAGTAGTTTAAATCGATCCGTTTCTTTTTTGTTTTTAATTGAATAATGGTCGGGAAACTTTGACATGGAAAATCACTTTTTATTACGAACTGGATTGTGTAATTTGTGTTTGATTGTAGTGATTTTTACTAGAATTAGTTTACGCTCAAGTTTATCGATTAAGACGTAAATAAAACACATATTTCTGTTTTTGACGAGTCGTTGTTAAACTTTGGGCTGAAGTAATCAAACTTTTTAATCAAAGTCCTTTGATTGGCACTTGAACGGTCAAGCAAAGTTTATTTTTTAGTTCGGTATCATGAAAATTATTTTATTTCGAATATAGAAACTTACTTGAAGATTGCTAATGTTTTGAATTCTTCATATTTTTTTACTAGAATCTACTTTAAAAAGACTAGCTGAGCGCACGACTTCGTGCGCGTGAAAATGGTTTGAATAATATTTCCCATTTTTGTAAAATTTTTCTTCACTGCTCATCTCCTATTGGCTGTAGGATAATTTTATACTGCCTTAAGCTTTCCCCGATAAATGGGCTATCCACTACAAAAATATTTTTTCAAATCGGACCAGTAGTTTCTGAGATTAGCGCGTTCAAACAAACAATTTTTTCAGCTTTATAATATTAGTATAGATACCTAGGTAATTTGGCTTGCGATTTTTAATTTAATCTACATTGTAAGTTTCTGATTGTGGTGCCGCTTTTATAGCCTTAATTTTACAGGTTTTCACTCCTATAAGACTATCGTTTTACCGTTCAGGAAAACTATTATATATATAAAAGTAAGTCTCTGTTAAACAGAAATACCTAGTAAAGAATTTTATCTGTCAAGAATTTCCAATATCCGATCGGTATTTAGACATTACACCTTACAAACGTTTTCGCGAACGAATAATGGTAATTTTTCCTCCTATTCTATTTTCGTAGGAAATCGTTCATGATATTTTTAACCCGTTTGTAGTTATTACGTGATTTCGTATGAATATATTATATCCTCTTCTGTCTGTCTGTCTGTCTTGCTTTCACGCCTAAACCACTGAACCGATTTTGATGAAATTTGACATAGATATAGTTTGAGTCCCGGGAAAGGATATACTTAGGATAGTTTTTATAAAGGATATAGGATAGATATTTGAAACAGGGACGCGCGTGATAATTTTTTTCTGTGATAGACAAAATTCCACGCGGGCGGAAAACTGGAAAGCTAGTAGGTTTACTGGAAGGGCAAAAAAAGAATGAGACATGTTTAGGCTCCATAAAAGCATTTGACGATTTATAAGTATTTGACCACAATCGCACCTGATGTTAAGTGGGATGCAGTCTAGGATGGTACATATCTGCCCTGTAAGTGCTTATTCACTCTCGCCTTGAAGAGGCCCGGATTATAGTTTTCGGGAAAGACAGCAGCAGGCAACGAATTCCAGTCCCTAGCTGTTCGCATTATAAAAGAGTCATTATCGTACAGTCCTATCAACTTAAGCTGAGAATTGCATTTGTGTGAGTGATCGCCAAAAGTACCGTTAGTAAAACACATACAAATAAAATTAATGTTTTATTAAAAGGAAGTCTATAAAACACTTGCTACCAATTGGGCCGATGTAACGACACTTGACACATCCTTTTAAATAAATAAATAAATAAAAACAGGTCCTCGCTCAGCATATGCCAAGGCACGAAGTACCTCGACGCTGATATTCTGCGAGCACCGTTTATAGAGAGGGCGTCCAGCCAGCCTTACAAAATACAACAAAAAGACAAACTTTATAAAATTACAAAATAAAAACAGACTAAAAACTTTTCGTTCACACCTTTAAAATACGTATTCAATTTGCATAAAATTTCTTTCACTTGGCTGCTTAATGGATTTCGTACAGGAAATTCACTTACAGTAGGAGCCATTTCACTAATATTTGGAACACAATTACATAAAATTACACGTATCTGCTACCAGTACTGGGGGTGAAGTGAAGTATGTGAGCGACAAGGAAGCGGTGCGTGGCGGACGCGCCGCGCTTCAGGCCGCTTGCTATAATAAACCATGCGCGGGACGCGCCGCGCTTCAAGCCGATTGCCACTCTAAACTATCGGTGTGCACTCACACAAATGCAATTCTCAGCTTAAGTTGAGAGGACTGTAGCCCTTAAAAGGTTTACGCTGAAGGTAGAATTATTTTTTACATGTCTTAGTTTTAATTAATAAAATAAAATAGGAATATGTTTTGGGAAGGAATAGGAATATCTAGGAATATCCAGCAATGGATGTCATTCGGCTGAAACGAACGAACGAACGATGTTTTGGAAAAAAGAAATTCAAGTGTATCACCTCGAACAATATTGATAAATAACTTACATTATGAAGACTTTTTATAATCATTTGTTTCTACCTAATACCAACATTTAAAAAATTATATTTTCTTGCAACCCTGTATTTTCCCTGAACACTTCTTGCAACTTCTTAAAAAATGGTTAATAAAACCATCGAATGTTATGAGGTGGATTTTCGAATGAACCTCCTTAAACGAAAGGTTTTCTCGGTATTATATTAATTAAATCAGGATCCAGTATGTATCTTAGCGAAATAATTAATTATCCTGCTCATTGTTTGGTACACATCAAAGCTTTTTAAGTACACAAATTCAAGGCTTTTGTTTGTAACTCGCACGATCTTGAGACAAAATATACAGGGTGTAAAAAACAGACAGGAATATAAATAATTAGAGTCACTGAAAAACATGTTCTGTTTGTGTAAATACTGCTTATACTTAGATGATAATGTAAGAACAAGGCTTTACTTAAGACGAAATCAAGGACATATAATTTAATATAATAAGTATTAAGGCAGAAATACACTCGGCGTCAAATAAATCGCACCTCCCGCGACAAGCACTTTCAAACGTATGCATCTCTACTTCCCACCAATATTGGTACCATTAGAAAGCCTAGTTCTAAACTTCATTTCATTAAAGGAAAGGTTTTTTACCCCAAAATGTGTCTTTAGAAGGACCCAGTGTCTCTTCTTAAAGCGACAGGGTAGTGACGCTTGAGCCAACTTTTATGGTTATAAAACTGTTAAATTGTGATTAATCGCTATCCATCTGTTAAAGAGGACACGTGAGAACTGAGATCCTCACGTGTCCTCTTTAAGTACTTAGCGTCAAAAGAAAATCTTTAGATATTGTCTGGAGGTGCAATACTATTTTAATACAATACATTATTTTGTTTTAATTGATGTTAATTTTAAATAAATAACATGAGCTGAAAACCAATGGATTTTCCTGAAATTCACTTCTGTATTTTGAATGCTGGTTTTCATTTTATACCACGTTATTTTTTGTAATTTACTGTAATAATGTAGGTAAGCATCCTCGGCACATGAGTGTAATTCGCTTCTGTTTTTATTCAAAAAATATATTCAATTTTCAGTCTAAATTGCCTTAAGATTTTTGGAAGGAATCACATGATTATTGCGATAATTGCATCTTGATGTTTGACATTTAACTTACTCATTAACAGCTCTGTGTGGGTGTAGGTTACAAATCTATCCCCACTCAAAATATAACCCGCAATTATGTTTCAATTGCCACTCATTTCGGTGTAATTTCTACCAAAGTTAATTAACTGAACTAACCTTTATTTAATTATGGCTGATATATAATTTAGACAAGCATCTAATTAGAGTAAAACCTTATATCGATGTCAGACGACGTAATAATGTTAATAGGTTGTTCCATGAAATGGCGTTTAAACGTATTTTTTATGTAGGGAAAGTTAGATTTTCTTGTCCTTTTGCTCTATAAAAAGGTTTTGCTGTTGTAGAGCCTATTTTACGAACGTCAGAGATTTTTTTACTGACGCAAAAACTACTTTATGTTAATTTGTCTATAGAAAATGACAAAACAGTACGTACAGTTTCTTCCATCCTTCTTCCATAAAATTGGAAAGCCTATAAGTTATGTACGAAATAGAATTTACGTGACACTGGCTACCTACGTAATGTGCTAAACGCACGAAGTCGTAATGCAAAAAAATTGTAACCAAGTGTATTTTCTTTACACACAGTTTTTAGGAATAGTAAAATATTTGCAACTTTTTATTGAATTCAAAGCTACCAAAACTTTAGAGCTGAATAAACACTTGTTAACTTTTTCATACACCCCAAAGTATTTTGTTAGTCATGATAAGGATTTTACGAAACTCCACCCCTAAGGGGGTAAAACGGGATCCACGCGTACGAAATCGCGGGCGGCCGCTAGTTTTAAATACAGATATAATGGTCGTGGTCATTAACACCAATATTTAATTTAACTCCTCCCGGGATTCAAACCCACAACCTCTGACTTCACCACCAGGCCATCCATCATCTATCACAAATCTTTAAACATTTTAACGTCCGGAGGCAATCAGTCAAAGTCGATAACACCAACGGAACATATGATTATTTACTTAAAATGTCCTTTAAGAATACTTAAGCGCACGTGCCAAGTATTTTTGTCGGTTTTCTAGATCGATACGAGAATATTTTATTTGGCTTGGCATTTAGGGGTCTATACAAATAGTAACATCGATGTTTGGTAACGGTTCACTAATGTCAGAATTCGTAGTGTAGGTACCTACCTACAGTCAGCCTCAAATAGTTCATGACACCCGTAGTGGGCAAAAAGTCGTTATACCATAATAGCTGGTTTTTACTCGACTGCGCCAGAAGGAGGGTTATTGTATGATGTTATTTGGTCAATAATTAGGTAAACATTGTTTCTTCATCAGCCAGATAGTTTTGACCGCGCCAACCCTTTGCCAGATAATCATTTTAGGATAGCTGCCAAGGCCACGATGACCCAAACTTCATTATGCACAAACGTTCTTACCTCAATAATGGGAGCATGCGTTGACAAACTTTCAGCTTTTATAAAATAAAGTAGGTCTGGCGTTCACTAGCTCTTAATCCATAATCCATGTGTCTTCCAGACCGTGGTTGCCACTCGAGAACTTTTCTGCCCCAGC